GCAACATGTGAGTGAAGGACCACGGAGGAAAACCAGGGCATGCTTGCAAAATGGTAATTACTGGACTCACTAAAGGTAGCTAGAAAAATTCCTTCCCTTATAGCTGAGTCAGTATGGATGGAACCAGGTAAAGTTAGGGGCTCTTCATTTGGGAAAAGGCACAATTTTTTTTTTTTTTTAATATATCTCCATTGATTTCAGAGAGAGGAGGGGAGAGAGAGACAGAAGCATCAATGATGAGAGAGTCACTGATCAGCTGCCTCCTGCACACCCCCTGCTGGGGATCGAGCCCGCAACCCGGGCCTGTGCCCTGACCCGGAATCGAACCGCGATCTCCTGGATCCTAGGTCGATGCTCAACTGCTGAGCCACGCCCAGCCAGGCAAGGCACAATTTTTTTTAAAAGTAAAAAAATATAGTAACTTTCTATTTACTGAAGGAAAAGATCATTCTGGGGAGAGTTGGGGCTTTGCTCCTCCTGCATTAGATCGATGGGGCAAAACGGGTTTTTAAGTAGCTTTCTCTGAATGGCAGTGAAGTCTTTGCCCACACACAGCGGATGTGCCCACCTTCCTTCCCACTCTAGGAGACAGCAAAAGCCTGTCGTCGTACTAAAGTCATGCAACCTGCAGTGTTAGCTCGGTCACCAGGCTGGCAGAACAAGGCATGGGCCTTGGAGTCGGGCGGACCTCTTCGATTCTTCACCTGCCCTCCTTTACTGTCGGGCTTAGCAAGGCACTTAATAGCTGAGCTGCATTTTCTCTCCAAATAAAATGGGACTGAGAAGCAGTACCTTGAAGTATTATTGTAAAAATCAGGCATAAGGTATACAGAGCCCCAGGCACGGAGTAGGACTAATACTAAGCACAAAATAAATGGTGGCTGGGATTATGGCTGAGAGCCTGTGGCTCGGCCCTTTCTGGTCCACCACCCGGACATGGCAGCCAACAGCCTGCGGAATCTGCCCAGGACCCTGCGATCTTCTTGCCTTTGGCCAATACAAGCATACTTTGGACATCTCCCAAAGGTGCTGGTTACCAGAACTTTAAAAATAAATTTTCTCTCCCATCTTATCTTCTCGTTCCTAGGCAAGGGCACTAAAGTATGCGGAATAATACTGACATCCGGCTGAGAGTGGAACAGTGTCCTGAACACCTACAGGGAGAAAGTTGTGCTTAAAAGCAAATGAGCTGAAAAGTAAAGAAAATAATTTCCCAGTGCGTGAATCTACATGTTAACGTATAAAGTACATGTAGCTTCAGGCAAATAAAAGGGGTCCTAAAAAATGAACTATTATCATGATACTTGGTGGCCAGAATCTTTTTTTTAAAGCCAATTGTTTGTGGTTTTTAAAGTGAGGCTGCCAAGAAAGCAAACAGGAGTTACATTTAATTTCTCTGTTATGCTTCTGAGAGCCAGAGAAGCTAATACTTAAGACCGATGAAGCTGCCAACTAGGTAGTGGAAAATTTATTTTCAAAATTAGGTTTACAAATGAAGATAAGGTGTGTGTTGGTTTTTTGGGTGTGTTTTTTTTTAGGTCTAAAGTACCAAAGAGGATTTAACTCTCTTTGAAAAATATGTAAACATTAAATACCCTATTGTTTAAGCCTCAGTAGCAATTAATCATCAAAGTAAGTCATCTGCATTTCAAAAATATCAATTAGTTTTACCCTGGCAACTTTTCTTGTTTTTATCTCTTGAAGTTATACTTCTGTAGCACCTTGGGCTGTTCCTAAAGCAGTGTGGGGCAATGTTGATGACATTTGACTATTTTAAATATTTATATGGACTCAAGACTTTATATAACACAGCCTTAGGAAGAAACCTAGCCAGTAGAATAGGTGTCTTGATATTGTGAATAAAATTAATAAGATGTCCTTTTTGAAAGGCCTCAAATTCTGATATGATGCATAGACCAGAAGTGCCAAATCAAGGATCATTAACAAAAGCAGTAATTTTCATTTTGCGGATGTTGTGTATTGTTATGAAGAAATTATTGGTGTCTTTGATGAATTCTCTTGGAAGGGAAGCAGCTCTTTACAATAAATAGGTCATAGGTGTGCGAGCAGTGGAATAACATGAAACTTCTAGTTATTAAGACAGATTCCTATGGGCCAATCACTTGTTCAGTTTGTACGCTCATTTATAACCCATCTCCATTTCCAGTTCTGCTCTCTGCATATGTATTACCTGTGATTAGATTCACACACCACACCTTGGTTTTAAAACCCTCCAGGAATAGAGGTATTTTTCCCTGCCCAGTCTCTCTCCCTTTTTATCTTATCTCCTGCACAGTCTCAATGGCTCGCTCTTCCCACCCAATCCTCATCAGGCTTTCAGGGAAACAGTTTTTGTCAAAATACAAGTTGCAGATCAATGACGGCAATTACACTGAATCCCATCTCGCTGCCTCCCCTTCCTCACACCTCTCCCAAATTCTTATTTATCTTCATCTGTACCTTCAGAAACACATGAATATTCTTCTAGAAAGGAGAAAAGGGGGCTAGAGCTTCCATCAGAACATATTGGATTATGCCCCAGAAAAGAGTTCAATCTTCAGTCCTTATGCTTCTTGGACACCATTAATTAAAATACTTCCATTAATAGAAAATGCACACACTTCCGCCCAAGCACAGGCTGGGCTGAGAATGCTGGCTGCTCGGCCCTGCCTGCCCTTGACCATACCGTCCCCCCACTTTCCCTGTGCACATTCTCCCAGTGACAAGGACATACCAGTACTTGAATGCACTCCAGTTGAACCCATGCTGTTAAGGACCTGTCACTTGTAGAGTTTTACCTTTCAGGATTCTGGCTGTCAGGGCTCATTGTCACCTAGATCACATGTCTTTTTCCAAGAGTCAAATGACCTTCACATACCAAGCGCATTTCACCTTCCTGCAGAGGTTGCTGCCCCTAATGGGAGGTGGCAGCTGTTAGTTCCCGCCAAGCTTGTTCTGAGCTTCAGGTTAAAAAGGAAAACCACTTCTCCAGCACAAACAGCTCCAGTCTCTGTTGAGCAGGCGAGGTTTAGCTGTGTGAATTGCAGCCTGACCTGAACCTTTTACAAGTGAATTTACAAAGTGGATTTTCTTACCTACAATTTTGCTCAGTGTCCAAAATTTAAATGGATACCATGAGTTGCAGAACTTACCATAGTTCTCCGACATAATCATCATTCTCTCCCATACAGAGTTAATCATGATTTTAAGTGCAGCCTAATTAATAAGCTAAATTTCAACGAGCACTTACTTTATGCCAGGCACCATTCTAAGTGCTTCATATGCAGTATTACATCTGAAACTCAGGTCAGTTTTTAGCTCTCATTTCACAGATGAGTAAGCTGATGGAGAAGGTTCATGACCAGCCCAAGGTCACATAGTAGGTTCTGTGGATGTAAGTACATTGCTCCCAGAGACTGCACTCTTAGCTGTGATGCAACGCTGGAGCGGGATTCCACATTAGGCACTGTGGTCAAAACCAATGAGCCCAGCACCTCCCATTCAATCCATCTTCCACATGCCATCAGCGTGACCTCCTGAAGGTGCAGATCTGACCATGACACTGGTGTAAACTTTTAATGATTTCTCACTGCCTACAAGACAAGGCCTAAGTCCTGAAGATGGCCCAAAAGGCTCGCTGCCATCACCTGCCTCTCTCTCCATCTACTTTGTTTGCACCTGTTCACACACTGGCCATGGTACTTGCGGCTCCCCAATTGGCCTGAGATTTTTGATGCTTTGGGACCTTCAAACTTTCTGCCCCAAACTTTCCTCCCTCCTCTTAACCCCAGTAAGCTCATATACATCCTTCAAGACCTCTCCCAAACATCTTCTCTACACCCTTCCCTGTCATAAATATCCTCTCTTCTGTTTGCTACCAGTACATAGATCAAAAGTAAAATAAAAATAGTTCCCATGTGCTCGGCACAGTGCTGAGCATTTGGCATATTTGGTGGGTACAAATCTTGAGCCACAGACACAATTATGGAAGAAATGTAACTTTCTTTTTTCAAAAACTCTCAATTTCTGTTTTAAGACTTCATTCAGCAGGAGACAGAAACTTAACATCAGCCAATTCAGCATCTCCTCCAGCTCCTGGGGTTGCAGCTGAGCTGAGAAGTTTAGACAGAGTCCAGCTGTGTGTGGTAGGCAGGCTGGGTGAATTTGCACCTTTGGTCTCTGTGTCGCCATCTCCCCAGGCTGGTGTCTTGTCACCATCTGAGCTGGGATAGTTGTGTCTCAGATCCTTCAGGCACCTGTGAATTCTTGGCTTTTCCATATGCATCCTGCTTCTCCTGGACCCTCTGAGTTGGGAGGATTGGTGGCAAGCGGGAGGCTCTCTCCTGCCTAGGTTCACCACACAGACATTTCTTTGACTCCTACTCTGTGCTGGGTTCCCAGCAACTCTGGGACTGGGCCAGCTCTCTGGACTCTTTTGTGGGGTCAGGGCCCGCACACTTTCTGCTTTCAAATCCCTTAGCCTATCTGGAGCTTCCATCTGGCCCCACGTGGGATGCAGAATGGCTCCAGCTTCTCACTCCCCTTCACTGCCCTCCTCGGACTCCCCTTGCCCGGAAAGCTGCTGTCTGTTGGGGAGAAAAACTGGCTCTGACTAATTTGAGTTTTCCAGATTCTAGGTCCTATGCCTGGATTCCTTTGTTATATGAGTTCCGCTGAGCCATCCCTTCCTTGGTCAATGAATGTTACTGACTAGGAGGAAAAGCAGGAGTACGAAGAAATTCAATGGAAATAATAAGAACAGTTAATATCTCACTGTTACTCCTGCCCTCCAGACACACGCAATGAATATCTCACATAACCTTTGCAAAAACCTATGGGATGTGTAATTATTCTTATTTTACAGAGGAAAACTTGAGGCATAGTGAGATCAATGAACACTGCACACAGGTGGCAAGCTCCTGACTCCAGTCCATGCTCTGAACCACCAACCACACTCCACTTTCCTTATCACGTGGAATTTAAATAATTCCTTTAGATACCTGAGTTTCTGAGTTAAATCGTGAGCTCCTTGAAGTTGGGGCCAGGTCCTCCTCCATCTTCATGTCCTCAGAGCCTAGCACTGGGCAGGTGTCCTGTAGGTGGAATTTGAATTGAAATGGGTCAAGGAGAGAGAAAGGAACAGAAGGAAGAGGGGGAAAAGTCAATGGGAAATTTTCTTATCTTAAGCTATTCTGAAACTTCCTCGATGATATTCTGCCAACTAAAGTATACGTGGAATTGAAAGTTTGATTGTATTGGCTAAATCATGTCCAGAACTGGACTCTTTCTACATTATACTGTCAGATTATTCTAGGCATAGAAATGAATTCCTTGCGTCCAGGAAAAAAAAAAAAAAGTAATATCATTGGTGACACAGCAGTAACAAGTGGGGGTTGTGTGCACACAGGAGCGGTGACCAGACCTGCCGACAGTTGTTAGCAGCCAATGCAGCCCCTGGTGATTTTTTTTTTTTTACTTTCTAGACATTGTCATCCAAGATGCTGGTGGTTTGTAAATCTGACAACTTCTGGAATTTCACACCCTTCTGTTAAATTTTTGTCTGAAAGCTTTTGTTATTCCACATTACATAAACCCCTCTGATAACAAATATTGTATTTATTCGGCGATGTATGCATCTAGGTGAAGGGCAAATGTCTTAGGCTGTGACATACCCAAGTTACAGTCAAAGGCAGGTCTGCTAAGTAGATTTTTTTTCTTCTTCTTCATAATTGTTTATCTATAATGTATTTTATTTTTTAAGTTTTCATTATCTGATGTCATAACAGATACTATAACACAATAAGAGGGAAACATTAGCCGTGGCTGGTGTGGCTCAGTTGGTTAGAGCACCATCCTGTCCACGGAAAGGGCACCTACTGAGCTGCAGGTTTGATCCCTTGCCCCCAGTGTGCTGGAGGCAGCCCATCAATGTCTCTCTCACGTCGATTTTCTCTCTTTTTCTCTCCCTTCCCCTCTCTCTAAAAATCAATGAACATGTCCTCAGAGGAGGATTTAAAAATAAAGTTAAAACAATAAAGTTACCATTTCCCCATCCCACCTCTCCCAGGCTCTAACTTGGGTTGTCACAGCTTCGCGTTTGCGGGAGTCTGTTTTCTGGTTCTCTCCCCTGTCCCCGCACCTTCGGCCCTCTAGCTACCATCTCCTTCTTCCCTCGGCCTTCTCCGTTCCTTCTGCATCTCTTTTTCCACTTTCTTCCCTTTCTCTATTTTTCATTTTCCCCCTTTCCCTTCTTTCCACATTAGCCTTGGAGTACCCAGGCTCTCCGGAAACGGAACTCATCCTCAAGATGCTCCAGCTCAGCCTGTTTTGGGGCCGGGCTTCCTTCCTGGGCTGCCCGGCAGTGTCTCAAAGCCTCGGCATGGGAAA